TTAGTCCGTGCGCTCTGTCATGCAAACGGAGCAATAACGGGAGCACAACCGCAGCCTCCTCTGTATATTTTGTAGCACCAAAAGGTAGCTCCCGCTAGAAGCTACCAAACTCTTCCAAGTGTTCCCTATTAAATGTATATAGTTACGTGACGTGTTACACTGCAAAGTATAGTAACACAGAAATGTAACAGTCGATTTTCTCAGCGGATAAAACGGGTACTATATTGTGAGGCGTAGTAATCTGAGGGGCGCTACGTCCGCGCACTAACTTCTCTCCGGAGACTTCTCTCTCGCTCACTTCCGTCAATAGAAGCAGCGTGACTTGTAGAACACACAGTAGCAGCGAGAGAGAAGTCTCCGGAGAGAAGTTAGTGCGCAGAGAAGTTAGGAGCGCTACGTCCGCGCACTAACTTCTCTCCGGATACTTCTCTCTCGCTGCTACTGCTTCTATTGACGGAAGTGAGCGAGAGAGAAGTCTCCGGAGAAAAGTTAGTGCGCGGACGTAGCGCTCCTCAGATTACTACGCCTCACAATATAGTACCCGTTTTATCCGCTGAGAAAATCGACTGTTACATTTCTGTGTTACTATACTTTGCAGTGTAACACGTCACGTAACTATATACATTTAATAGGGAACACTTGGAAGAGTTTGGTAGCTTCTAGCGGGAGCTACCTTTTGGTCCTACACAGTGACCAGAGGAGGCTGCGGTTGTGCTCCCGTTTTTGCTCCGTTTGCATGACAGAGCGCACGGACTAAGACCAGACAGGTACATATTAACTAGTCTAAGGTAAGGTAAGAACATATGTCAGTATGTAAAAACGGTGAACTATTCCTTTAATATGTACATACAGTGGGACAAAAAAGTATTTAGTCAGCCACCGATTGTGCAAGTTCTCCCACTGAAAATAATGACAGAGGTCTGTAATTTTCATCATAGGTACACTTCAACTATGAGAGACAGAATGTGAAAAAAAAAATCTAGGAATTCACATTGTAGGATTTTTAAAGAATGTATTTGTAAATTATGGTGGAAAATAAGTATTTGATCAATAACAAAAATTCTACTCAATACTTTGTAATATAACCTTTGTTGGCAATAACAGAGGTCAAACGATTACTATAGGTCTACCAGGTTTGCACACACAGTAGCTGGTATTTTGGCCCATTCCTCCATGCAGATCTTCAGTTCAGTTTATACCAAACAGTTCTACTTTGGTTTCATCTGACCACAGGACATTCTACCAATCCTCTGCTGTATTATCCATGTGCTCACTGGCAAACTTCAGACGGGCCTGGACATGCACTGGCTTCAGCAGGGGGACACGTCTGGCACTGCAGGATTTGATTCCCTCTCGTCGTAGTGTGTTACTGATGGTAACCTTTGTTACTTTGGTCCCAGCTCTCTGCAGGTCATTCACCAGGTCCCCCCGTGTGGTTCTGGGATTTTTGATCACCGTTCTCATGATCATTTTGACCCCAAGGGATGAGATCTTGTGTGGAGCCCCAGATCGAGGGAGATTATCACTGGTCTTGTAAGTCTTCCATTTTCTGATAATTGCTCCCACAGTTTATAAGCTGCTTGCCTATTGTAGATTCACTCTTCCCGGTCTGGTGCAGGTATACAATTCTTTTCCTGGTGTCCTTCGACAGCTCTTTGGTCTTGGCCATAGTGGAGTTTGGAGTCTGACTGTTTGAGGCTGTGGACAGGTGTCTTTTTTACAGAATACCTTAGAGCTCAAACAGGTGCCCTTAATACAGGTAACAGGTGGAGGACAGAAGAGCGTCTTAAAGAAGAAGTTACAGGTCTGTGAGAGCCAGAGATCTTCCTTGTTTGAAGTGACCAAATACTTATTTTCCACTATAATTTACAAATAAATTCTTTAAAAATCCTACAATGTGAATTCCTGGATTTTTTTTTCACATTCTGTCTCTCATAGTTGAAGTGTACCTATGATGAAAATTACAGACCTCTGTCATTATTTTAAGTGGGAGAACTTGCACAATCGGTGGCTGACTAAATACTTTTTTGCCCCACTGTATGTTATAAAAACAAAGTGGACCATGACACATAGTTTCATTACCATTAGACTGTAGGTTGGACACCTGATGCGTGGTCATTAGAAAAAGACAGAACAGGGACCACAGAAATATCAAAATGTACTTGGGAAATTTCAAACTTATTCTGGGTATATCCCCAGACTTTATACATCTTTCATTCAAGATCACTTTTCAAATCGTCTCCCAATGTTCTGAATCGGGAATTCATAACATATTCATATACACATACATAATACATAACACATTCATATACACATACATTCCTGTCCGCTGAGATGAAAGCAGCATTGTGACTTTGAGATGTCTTCTTTCACTGTGGGTGGCACTGGCACTTCCTCCTCCATAACACACCATTGCCTGCTTCTCAGTAATGGTTCCTTGCAAAGTCAATCACTTTATGCACAAAAGAACCCAACACAGCTTTAATTGCATTTGTCTAAGATCTGTTTGGAATTACAATGGCAAACAGCGCTCAAACCACCCACTTCCACTTCACTGAACAAGAAAATAGGGCTTCAGTCGAGTTGGCAGGGGAGGATAAATCTGCCACTCCTGGAGCCATCACACCTCTATTGAACTGCGAATACTGCCGTCTGTGCACATATCAAAAGGACGTTTATGATTAATAACTACTTTAAAGGCCTGTTAGCTTGAATCACAACAGTCCCATATGGCCTGTTTTGAGTGGCCACATACGAGTCAATTTGCTCCTACTTCAATTACTGCCTGATGCCCAAATGAAGTTACCCCTTACCAGACAATACACTTCGTCTTAAACGAATCAGCACACAGAACACAATGAGTGGGTTCTGCCCGAAGCTGCACAAACAGTACACTGGATTAATACAGGGGCAGGGGGTTACGAGCTGTGATAACCACTGCATGACGACTTACAAAACCCAACTTTGGCACGCATGGAGAACACTTCCAATTACCATTAATCTGTTTGTCCCAAATGTAAAAAAATCAGCGTCATGTATTAAGTCTTTTGGCTAACCGAGAAGGTGTGGTGATACACAGCAAAAAATGATAAAATATGAGGTAATACTTGCTTGAATTGAGTAGTTTAATCTTAATTTGAGTACTTTCTGATCGTCTTAATACAAGATTTCCCAATGGGACAAAGCCATTTAGTAGGTCAAGAAATTTTGCTTTATTTTCTCATTCCAAGGGAGACATTTCTTGTATCTTAAAGTTGTACTATAATTTAATATGCTGCTATCCAGAATATACAGTATAACTACAATATGTGTTTGTAATATTCCGGGTGTTCATTTTGACATGTTAAGATGAATAATGTTAAAAAAAACGGCTTTGAAGTCGCACTTTTTCACTTCCGCATAGAAACGCTAGGGGGAACCAAAATGGCGGCGATGACGTAGGAGAAAGGCATCTCACAGCAGCGGACAGCAGTCTTAGCTGGAATCTGTAGGAGGTTTCACTGTCATCTGAACAAGGTATAAACATATTTTCATCAGTTTTGTACATAAATGTGCAACTCTTTTAACCTTTTAGCCTTATATGTGAGATTCAAGCTAATTAGTGTTGGGCAACTTAGCTACTTGAAATCAAGATATCCTAAAACATACAAGGTTAATATTTGTTTTTACATTATGCCAGTCTCACTTTGGTTGCTTTAGATTTATTTACCACAATGTACATTGTAATATTAAAAATGCTAATTAAAATAACTTGAATTAAATAAATATTTTACTTTTATGAACAAAAAGCTGCAGAAGTTGAAAACATAGACTACATGTGATGCAATCATTGATAAAAATGCTAAATAAACCGTTAATAGGTGTTAGCATTTACGGATATTACAATGTACATTGTGGTAAATAAATCTAAGGCAAACCAAGTGAGACTGGCATAATGTAAAAACGAATATTAGCCTTGTTAGCATGTTTTATGATATCAAGTAGAGTTAGCTAACTTGCCCAACCCTAATTCAATTTGGAGAGACGTGAAACAAGAAGCTTTTGAGTATTTATTGGGAGGAGGTTTGGCGCCCTAGGCCCCGGTGCGGCCTTCAGATCGGAGGGGCTCTGCGATGGAGCATGCCAATCCCCCGGGACCTAGGCACTGGTGGCGGCATTTGGCAGCGGGAAGCAGATTGAAGGCAGAATGAAGCAGGGTGAAGAGGAGGAGGAGGGGAGGCGGTGGCTGCAGCTTCAAGAGGCCGAGAATGGGAGTTCCTCCGCTTTTAAGCAGCTTGCCTGGCTGGACCGGTGATTGGAAGGGGGCGTTTGCCGTGCGATAGGCTGGGGATGAGAACCGGCCTGGAGGGGTTACCTTTGGCTGACGTCTACCAAATTGAACTTACGCTGGCTGCATTTCAATTTGGAGAGACGTGAAACAAGAAGCTTTTGAGTATTTATTGGGAGGAGGTTTGGCGCCCTAGGCCCCGGTGCGGCCTTCAGATCGGAGGGGCTCTGCGATGGAGCATGCCAATCCCCAAAAAGGTTGTGAGTTGATGGAGTTTTGCAGCCTGGTTTGAAGGGGACAGACGTCGAGACTACTCTATGCTGTGACCGCTATCGCTATATACTGTGACCGCTATCGCTATATACTGTGACCGCTATCGCTATATACTGTGACCGCTATCGCTATATACTGTGACCGCTATCGCTATATACTGTGACCGCTATCGCTATATACTGTGACCGCTATCGCTATATACTGTGACCGCTATCGCTATATACTGTGACCGCTATCGCTATATGCTGACGAGTCGCGACCATCGCGCGCTAACCATTTTTTGCTATATACTGTGACCGCTAACCATTTTTTGCTATATACTGTGACCGCTAACCATTTTGCTATATACTGTGACCGCTATCGCTATATACTGTGACCGCTAACCATTTTTTGCTATATACTGTGACCGCTATCACTATATGCTGTGACCGCTATCTATTGTGACCAAACTTGCGGATCCTCATCCGAGCAGTCTCTGCCGAGCAGTCTCTGCCGAGCAGTCTCTGCCGAGCAGTCTCTGCCGAGCAGTCTCTGCCGAGCAGTCTCTGCCGAGCAGTCTCTGCCGAGCAGTCTCTGCCGAGCAGTCTCTGCCGAGCAGTCTCTGCCGAGCAGTCTCTGCCGAGCAGTCTCTGCCGAGCAGTCTCTGCCGAACAGTCTCTGCCGAACAGTCTCTGCCGAACAGTCTCTGCCGAACAGTCTCTGCCGAACAGTCTCTGCCGAACAGTCTGCCGAACAGTCTCTGCCGAACAGTCTCTGCCGAACAGTCTCTGCCGAACAGTCTCTGCGAACAGTCTCTGCTAGCTGCTGCGACCATTGCTTGCGGATACTCAGCTGCTGCGACCATTGCTTGCGGATACTCAGCTGCTGCGACCATTGCTTGCGGATACTCAGCTGCTGCGACCATTGCTTGCGGATACTCAGCTGCTGCGACCATGCTTGCGGATACTCAGCTGCTGCCGCCACCAGGAAGTTTGCAAGTGTTTTATGGAGATGCAAAGAGGCGCTGGGCTGCCAGGATGGTCGAAGTGTCAGGCCTGATGTATGAGGAGAGGGCCGATGATGACCAGCGGCCCAGCTGCTGGAGGGCGGAATAGGGGAGCCCAAGGGACGCGGCGCGCGTGGCGGCGCCTATCCGAAGGAGTGGGCTGTGTAGAGATGGGGAGACAGGTTACAAGCAGCAGTACGGACTTGAGTTGGGCTCTGAAACAGACGGATGACATTGGAAGGTTATCGGGAGCGCGGAGGAGATGCTTTGAGGGAAGGCGTCGGGCCAGGGCCCGGCGAACCACTGGACCTGGAAGAGACCCCCAAAACCCACGGACGGGGCTGCGTCCGTGAAGAACCGCAGGGCATCTGAGGACGGGATGACGTCACTGTAAAAAAAAGATACACCGTCCCAGCGGCTCTGCAGACGGGACCCGAATGCCAGGTCGGAGCGGCACCCCGCGTCCGGGCAGACAGCGTCGTTGAGGGAGGAGACGGAGCCAGATATAAGCAGTTCCATATACAAGCAGTTCCATATACAAGCAGTTCCATATACAAGCAGTTCCATATACAAGCAGTTCCATATACAAGCAGTTCCATATACAAACAGTTCCATATACAAGCAGTTCCATATACATACAGTTCCATATACATACAGTTCCATATACATACAGTTCCATATATATACAGTTCCATATACATACAGTTCCATATACATACAGTTCCATATACATACAGTTCCATATACATACAGTTCCATATACATACAGTTCCATATACATACAGTTCCATATATATACAGTTCCATATATATACAGTTCCATATATATACAGTTCCATATATATACAGTTCCATATATGAGCAGTTCCATATATGAGCAGTTCCATATATGAGCAGTTCCATATATGAGCAGTTCCAATATGAGCAGTTCCAATATGAGCAGTTCCAATATGAGCAGTTCCAATATGAGCAGTTCCAATATGAGCAGTTCCAATATGAGCAGTTCCAATATGAGCAGTTCCAATATGAGCAGTTCCAATATGAGCAGTTCCAATATGAGCAGTTCCAAATATGAGCAGTTCCAATATTAGCAGTTCCATATATTAGCAGTTCCATATATTAGCAGTTCCATATATTAGCAGTTCCATATATTAGCAGTTCCATATATTAGCAGTTCCATATATTAGCAGTTCCATATATTAGCAGTTCCATATATTAGCAGTTCCATATATTAGCAGTTCCATATATTAGCAGTTCCATATATTAGCAGTTCCATATATTAGCAGATCCATATATTAGCAGATCCATATATTAGCAGATCCATATATTAGCAGATCCATATATTAGCAGATCCATATATTAGCAGATCCATATATTAGCAGTTCCATATATTAGCAGATCCATATATTAGCAGTTCCATATATTAGCAGTTCCATATATTGGCAGTTCCATATATTAGCAGATCCATGTATAAGCAGTTCCGTATATAAGCAGATCCATATATAAGCAGGTCCAGATATAAGCAGAACCAATATATGCAGTTCCATGCACTGTATAAGCGGTTCCAGGTATAAGCAGTACCATATAATCAGTTCCAGGTATGAGCAGTCCCAATATGAGCAGTTCCATAAAAGCAGTTCCATAATACATAAGCAGTTCCGTAATACATAAGCAGTTCCGTAATACATAAGCAGTTCCATAATACGTAAGCAGTTCCACAATACGTAAGCAGTTCCATAATACGTAAGCAGTTCCATAATACGTAAGCAGTTCCAGATATAAGCAGTTCCGTGAGGGATTAAACTGAGAGCTCGCAGTCCAATTTGAGGGATTAAACGGAGCTTGCAGTCAGAGTGAAGGATTTAAACGGAGCTTGGTTAAAGAGAGCCTGCAGACCAATGTGAGGGCTTTAAACTGATGCTTGCCCACCAATGCACGGGGCCAACTGAGCCTGCATTACAAGCGCAGGGCCAACTGAGCCTGTAGGACAATGCGAGGGGAATAAACCGTCCGCAGATCTCATACTTACCCGCAACGCCAGAAGATAAGGGACAACACGACGGGACCACACCGTATGGCACGAGGAGGCAGGGATGCGCACGGCTCCCACCGCACCGGTCCAGACCGGCCGTATGCAGCAGCAGGCCGCGACGAGACGAGCAGCGGCGAACCCGCAGAAAGAGCCCGCAAAGGAGGAGAGCGGCAAAGACCCACGGACCACAGCACGAGACCCGCAGCAGGTGCAGCGACGCGGAGGAAGAGCAGACCACACGCAGCAGGACAGAGGACAGCAGGGACACGCACGAAGTAAGTGAGAGTAGAACAAAGCGATTCCTCCAGAACGACTCTTTGCAAGGCTTCGCTCTTTGCTGCAGCTTCAAGAGGCCGAGAATGGGAGTTCCTCCGCTTTTAAGCAGCTTGCCTGGCTGGACCGGTGATTGGAAGGGGGCGTTTGCCGTGCGATAGGCTGGGGATGAGAACCGGCCTGGAGGGGTTACCTTTGGCTGACGTCTACCAAATTGAACTTACGCTGGCTGCATTTAGCTTGAATCTCACAAAAAAGGCTAAAAGGTTAAGAGTTGCACTCTATTATGTACAAAACTGATGAAAATATGGTTATACCTTGTTCAGATGACAGTGAAACCTCTGATCGCTGCTCCTACAGATTCCAGCCAAGACTGCTGTCCGCATAGAACCATGTGTCCGCTGCGTTTGTGGAAAGCTGCGACTTCAAAGCCATTTTTTTAACATAATTCATCTGAACATGTCAAAATGAACCCGAAATATTATGAACACATATTGTAGTTATATATTGTCCCATTGGCTCAAATTGTGCGAAAATTAAGATACAATTTTTGGCTTTTTCTTTCTTCACTTATTGCAGTGAAGCTCCCAGGACCACAGTGTAGTGCACTGGTTATAGCTTCAGTACAGCCATGTGGATCTCCAATGATCAAACATCACAGCAGAGTATCTTTATCCCAGCGGAGATCACCAGACCATCAATTATTGAGGATTGATAAAATACTTAAGCCGATGAAGAGCTTCTAACAAGTGCTGCATGATACCTGCTCAGCCAGCTCTGCTCTGATGCTGCAGTGGAGTCTGCGTGAGGGTAAGTGTAAGTAAGTAAGTAATCTTTATTCATATTGCTGGGTTGCACGTGACGTCATCAATCTCCCCATTGAGAAGAACGTACACATTTACTGATTCCGAGTCAAAATGGTCTTTTTCTGTGTTGTGTGCAGCTATAGCAACTGCTCATATCAAGTGGAGAACTTATGGAGTCTCTATTTTGCTAAAATTTATTTCACTAACAGGTGTCGATTTTTTGGAAAATGCCTAATTAAGAACGAAAGCTGCCTGTCCGCAGTCTCTACTTTGCTGACTTTCATCGATACAATGCAGTATTTTAGTGTGGTATACGGTTGTAGTAACCGAGAGAAAGAACTGTTAAATACACGTTTTAATGCCGAAGGTTGTCTCAAACCAACATTTACTGTATGTATAACAATGCTAAAGGCAGGCTTTACAATCAGTCTTCTCACATATAATCTTTTTTTTTTTTTTTTTTTTTTTCCTTTTTTCCTTTATTTGATTTTCAAGGTAACATACATTCAACAAACAAACAAACAAGAATATGTGTAGAGACACATATTTAAGGAATACAGCAAATTGTGCGCGTGTGAGGGTGTGTGTGTGTGGCTTGCGTGCGTGTGTGTGTGTGCGGAACAGTACATTGTGCAAGCAACATTATTATTAATTTATGAACTATAAAAAGAACAAAAAAAGAAAAATAATGGACAGACAATAAGCATAACACTGGATAATAAGTTTTAACCTATGGCTAGAGAAGACATGGGATATATCGGAGCTACATAAAGAAAGAAATGGTGCGGTAGTAAATGTATAATGAGACAAACAGTAATACAAGTTATAAGAATAAATAGAATAATAAAAATAAAACAAATAATAATATTAATAAAAAATATAAATAAAAAAATAAAAAAAATAGAAAATGGTCCAACCGTTATACCCAGACGCAAGCATATGTTTGTACCCATGGTTGAAGTGTTTAACCTATAAGGATTGTTGAAGGCAGTAATAGTGGCAGAAATAGAGAGGGAAAAAAAAAAAAAAATAAATAAAAATAAAATAAAGTCTGCATACAGATATATACCCATAAATACATACATATATGTACCCACGGATATACACACGCACCTATACATTCATATACACACATAAAAAATAAAAAAAATAAAAAAAATCATGTGGATTACATATATGAAATATAGAGATTTTATTATATAGGGTTATCCCAAATTATTTACGCACACCATATTTAGAGATACAATCCCCTTCCACTTTCCCTATGTCTGATCCCTCCATCTCCCACCGTGCCTTAATGTGTAGTGCATTAAAAACATTTGTGGAATGTGGTGCATTAAAAAAAAACTCAGACATACTTGGTAAGAGATCGAGGGGGGATGCTTTTTTTGTTTTTTAATTTTCTTTTCTCTTTCCTTTCCCTTTTCCTTCTTCCCCCTTTCCTTCCCTTCCCCTTCTCCTTCCCTCCTTTTCTTTCCTCCATCCCTTTCCACTCCTTATCTATCTAGCTTACTTTATTGTTAGTAGAATTGTTGGATTTTCATTAAAGTGAATTAGAATATATTCAAAGTTTAGACAGTTTTGAGTTAACCTATGTGTGTGATGGGATGTGATGGGCGCATCAGCAGCATTCTCTCCCATCCCCCCCAGTCATGAAACACAGGAAGTTAAATTAAGAAGAGCGTAGAGAGCATCTGTTTGGAGTGGCCTCGGGCTTGCTTTGAGAGGGGCTATGTGTTTGCCCTGAACAGAGAAGCTATTGTCTTCACCTAAGGATGTTGGGACATGTGTTTCAAATTATCAGGGTATAAGGACAGAGCTTTTGGTTCATTCTTTGT